CGGACCACGTGTCAGGGGCGGGGAAATGGCCACGGACCACGTGTCAGGGGCGGGAAAATTGCCGTACCCCGAGGCGGGGGTCGCACATTGGGGGAAATTTTTGCGGCCGGAGCTGGTCGTAACCCGAAAAGTTCGTTAGTAGAGGCGTTCGTATCCCGAGGTACCACTGTACATTAAAACACTTAATGCCTAAATGCCTTCAGTGCTTCTAAACATGCCTGTTAAGGAACATCGCATTGATGTTAACAAGGCTGGCTTAAGAAAGCAGCATTAAACCACCTCTTATTTTGATTCAGATGGAAAATGGTTGAGTGAAAGATTAAAGTGCAACAATTTTTGAGTGTGAGTGACAAAATACAAAGGTCTTCTCTTTTAATTCTCTACTGGTGGGCTTCCCAAGAATATGTGGTGAGTAATAGCTGAAAAACAGAATGTTGGACTAGGAGTAATGTATCTGAAGACTGAAATGAATGCCTGTTTTTTGGAGACAAGCTTTTCTTTTCCTGATTCCCTATGGCCCCACATTTTTAGAGTACTAGAAGAAAAATTACGTACCTCTTGCATCAAGTAGCAGATTCTCTGGCTTAATATCCCGATGAGTCACTCCTATACTATGGAGGTAGACCTTATTAAAAAAAAAAGGATTTCTATTAATTCTTTCTGCCCGCCCCACCCTCAAAACAGAATGCGAGAAAAATCACATGAGAAGTCAGCATAGAGAAACTTACCACCCCAGCTATTAGCTGGTGGAAAAACTTCTGTGCTTCTGATTCCGGCATTCCGATATCAGGCTCTGAAGAAGATACCTTATTGTTATGCAGAAGCTAAAATAATCTGCATCACTAATAACTTCTTTTCCCCACTGGAATATTAGTAGAGAGATTAAGCTTTAGCAAAGAATATTTTATTCTGCAATCTGACTAATTTGAAACTTTTAAAACTGATATTAGTTCATTTTAAGGATGGTTTGCTCTAGATCAGGGTTCCTCAACCTTGGCAACTTTAAGACGGGTGGACTTCAACTCCCAGAAT